GAGAAAGAGAGAGAGAGTGAGAGTGAGAGAGTAGTAGCGAAAGCAGTATCACGCAGAGGCTCAGTTTTAGTGAGGTTGATTTCGCAAGTGTTTCGAGAGCGAGACGATCGTGAATTCGATAAAAGTGGAGGAAGAGACATGGAGGGATGTCAAGAAATTTTTTCAAGTAACGAGTATTAATCCTTTGCACTCGATTGTCGTTGGTTTCGTACAGGGATACTTGAGCGAAGAGGTGAAATTAATAGATAAGTATATAGGGTATTTTGGCATTGATAGATACTAGATGAAAAAAATTAGCGATAGTTTTAACGGAATATTGTGCGGGGAGAAAATTTATTCATTTGAGAAAATGAATTTTGAACGGTAAGTTCGTTATCAGAGAATTTATCTTGATACGTTATATTAATACGTTTATTTTGATTATGAAGCATTTTTGTATGTCTGATGAGAAAAGCTTTCAAGCTTTGGTTAAATTTAGACTTCACTGTTCGATAAGTGCAATTTGTTCTGTAATCATATCATTTTGAGTAGATTTTGATACAGATTATTATTGTTTATATAATAATATTACTATTATTACTCTTGTCCATTATTAATTTATGTTTGTTTACAATAGATTTATAAGTAAAAATAAGAAATATCATATTTTTTTAAAATTCACTTTATCAATGCTGATTATTGTATTTAGACACGAGCACGTTTGAAATGAAATTATACTCAAAATATTGTTATTTAAAACAACGTGTTGTTCATTTCAGTAATTATTTGAAATAATTATATAAAATGATTATTTTGAATAACGTAAAATATTATTTCAAACGATTTCATTTCAAACGTGCTTTATGACAAAATATAATAATCAAGCATTAATAAAGTAAATTTTAAATTTATTTATAATTTTAAAATGTGATGATTTAGGTGATTATTTTAACAATTATTTTTTAATTTTGAAATAAATTTTTATTACTTTGAATGAATCAATATGAGATATTTTTAAATGAAGTGAATGTAAATAAATTTCAAACGAAATATATTGATTATATGTTA